CCTTCATTTAAGAATGTCCCTTTATTTGTCATATCAACACACTCCATCAAGACCTTGTTCTGGTAAAGGAGGCTTAAAGATTCATGGAGCAACTAGACTCAGGGTTCAGGACTGACTACTATATAGAACATGTGCAGTGTTGGATTAGTGGCAACCTCTTAGAGACAACTTCCTTTTTTGTGAGAAAGCAAAGATACTATTTCACAAATTCCATGTGAGAGTAATTCAGAGTATACAGTAATACTCTGTACCCTCATACTACCCATGAAGGCCTGTATTGGCTATTGGCTCAGAACTCACTGTTTCCATGGATTCTTCCTTGATTCTCCCAGCTCTTCATTCTATGTCCTTTACTTTTCTATTCACTATGATGTGTAGACAATTTACTTCACAAGGGCTTAGGATACTGTCTCTGTTCTTAACAGACTCTGGCCAGTCACTTGGCCCTCTCTGGCCTCCAACCATAAAGTGGTCTCTTAGTAGGGTCCACTCTAGACTTTACATTTTGACATTCTAACTGTGAGAAGGAACAGTAGACCTGGATACTTCAATTCTTTCTAAGTGTTTGGTCACATGTATGTGGGTCCCTTCACATACACCCCACCTTCTTCATCTGCATGCAGAGAACAGAAAACTGACTCTTCTAGCAAGGAGAAGGACTGATAAAGATGGCTGAGTGACCTTAGGTGATCTACCATTTTCTTGGTGAAGAGTAGATTTGGGGAGTCTGAGTCTTTCAAAAAAACAACCCCAGTGGTGGCCCAGTTAGTTAGCAACGAGGCTTTGGGGAGATTGCTCCACCCCAAATCTTAAGGTGACTAATTATCCTGACTATCTTCAGCCTTCTAGTAAGACTAGTGCTGATCTGGTTTGAACGCTATCTGAGAATCTAGACTTCCGGAGCTGTTATTATTGGGAGTCAGGATGTAATTAGACAGAGAGATTCAGGTAATGTAGAGCATTGCTTTTCCTCCATTCCCATCAAATAACAATCTCCTTTATGTAGATCATGAAGATTCCCAGACTCCTTTGATTCATTCACAGGCATATTACAGGGCAATGGGTCTGATAACACTGACAAGTACAGAATGCGGCTCATCCTGTTTGCTGGAGTTTACTGAGCTTGTGAATTCCTCGTGGAGCGAGCACCATTCTTCTCTTCCCTTCTCTTCGTGTCACCCCCACAGGGAGTCTGAATCAGACAGGCAGACGGTGTGGATCATAGGCCCTTCAGGCTAGAGAGACGTACAAGAACGCCTGACTCCACTTCCTTGTTTTAGTTCTAGCATGTGATTTTAACAGGCAACACAGACCTAGTATCAACTGTGATTCTTAGATGATGAAAGTGAGGTGTAAAATCCTTTGGGCCTTGTTCAAGGTCATATGGCAAGCTCATGTCTTGGGCATGGACATGGACAAACAGACTATTTTACTGGAGAGACTTCATTAGTTTCAGGAAGATAGCAAGTGTGCATACCAGCCTGTGGTTCTTAACAGATACGAGAAAATGTTCAAACATATGTGCCTTCACCTTCAAAGAAGCAGGAATTCCAGGACAAGAGCCACTGACAGACATGCGGAGAAATGATGTCCTCATATGGCTTAGCTTTGCTGTTGGTCTTCCATCTTCTACACTTTGAGTCTGGGCCCTGCCTCAGGGGGCCCTAAATTGGGATTAGAAATCTCCTGACAACCCAACTAACTCACAGTAGCTTTGGTTCAGTGGTTCCTCACCTGGAAATGTCACTTCCCGCTCAGATAGCGATGTGAAAGCCTCCTTTGGTTCCTCCATGAGCCCAGCTGGGAAACGGAGCAGAGGCGGAGACCCCTAATTGCATTGTTTTAATAGTGTTTTCATCCTTTGACCCTCTCTGTCTCCCTCCATTGCACTAGTCCATGCAGCAGATGACAGACAGTGCAGTCTTGCCTCCAGTGCCAGGCACATCCTAGCTGGCCTGGATTTTCAAAGCTAGTCAATGCAAGGGCCCTGTGGTGGCATCTGCTTTGAGGCTCTGAATGGACCCTTAGAACTGCTTTGCCAGATAGGAAGAGTGCTTGGCCCTGCCCACCTCATTTTTTGTAAGCCATCTATCTGGCACTGCACAGACTAGTGATCTCATTCTTCGGCTGTTGCTCTTTTGTACAGCCCTCTACCATTTAAGGCAGAGTCTTAGTGGCTGCCCTGGGAGTTGGGAGTAATTATAGAATTCTGTGGAATGCTGGCATCCTCATCACATTCTGGTCTTCATCCCCAGAACTGCCTTTGATCTAGCACTTTGTTGGGAGGGTAACCATTAAGATGTCTATCTTCAGTCTCATTTACATGGAAGATACGAGTACTAAGCTGGCAATAGACATCTTCTTGTTCTCAGATCTGGCCTCCTCCTAGATTTCATGTCGAGTTCTAGAAATTGACGCTACAACTCCTGGCCTATTTTCCAATGGCGACCCTTGGAAGCCCATATGCTCAAAGTGAACTTCCCTCCATGATGTGTATATGCCCTTTTAATGCTTATCAGAGACTCTGGTGGTCCTTGAAGTACTGATTTTTATTTTATGACTGTTTTATTCTATTACACAACAAGTAAATGCCTGTTGATGAAAATTCAGAAAATAATATATAGTTATTACATTCCCATAATACTAAAACAGTGAGGACATGAACAAAATTTCTTCTATTATTATTCATAGTGGTTTTGTGTTGAAAATATTTGCTTCATTCAAGCTGAGGCCTTACTATTTCCTCTCAATTATTTTTTATGTTCGTCAGCAGATCCAGGGTTTTGGATATGCTGACATATCTACCACTGATCTATAGCTCCTGCCCATCTTTAATATAGATTCAGTGCTCCATCAAGTAAGAAGCCTAAATTTAATCAAACCCATTAGATATTTACATTTTTCTAAGTTACTGTGGTAATTGCCTTTATTTACTTAGCTTCCACTCCTACCTTCATAGTTTTCTTTGTCTAATTTATCTGAATTGAATCCACAGGGACAAACTGTTGAGGTATTTCATGCTTTTGACACATATTACCATGTTTGCAAAATTGTTTTCTAAAAGGGTACCCAATAACAACACATTCTTTACACTAGGTTCCAGGGATTTATTATAGTGATAATTTAGATGCAAAACATCATCTCATTGTATCCTCAGTCTTCCCCCTTCCCTTTGTTTTGATAGCTTCTGAGGTGAGAAGTTTTATCCTACTATCAATAGTTGACCACAGTCATCCATGAAACCTAACAAAAGGTTTCCAGAAATTTCTGTCATTCAGCAGACACCTTTCTTCAAAGGTATGGGAACGTAGAAACTTTGAGGCAAGATCCTGCCAGGAGACCCTGAGGCTCCGGCCTCTTCCTACTAGTTTTCCCATCTGGAAACTGAGAGAACAGTGCCCTGAAATCCTTGTCTAGCTTTGTCTCCTAAAAGTGTGTCTATAACGAGTATAGGCATTCAATCATAAGTTGTCCCTGGTGCCGTTTTTCAGTATTTGTATTTGGAGTATCTGTATTTGCCTTTGACTGTTCTGAACCATTTTCTCAACACCATTAGAAGGACGGGGAGCTAATCACATGCCGTGAAAGCGGTTCTTGGGTCAGCCTCTTTCATGATCTCTTACTCCTATTGTAGAGAATCCCCAATACATTTCCATTTAAATGTTGTGGACTATTATAATGCATAGATAGTTTGGCCTGTGTGACAAAGCTGTCAGCTGTCTGGTTGCAAGAGTAAGCTCATGACCTTCTAGGAAAATAGGTGCTTGCCTGGAGATAAGAGGAACACCCTTCTGTCTGACCATTCACAAACTAGATCTGTGCACCTGGAATTCACAGAGAGAATGGGACACATGCTGAGGAGGAGGGAGACTGGAAGCTGTGGGTGAATCCATGCCCATGGGCTCTGAGGTTCTTGGTTGCTACAGTTCTCTTTAATTCTATCTCCCATTGCAGTATCCATCTCAGCAATACAGGCAGATATATGCCTTCTTGTGAGTTTGTTCAGTTTGTTCTGGACGCTCTAACTCCTTGTAAAACCTTCACTAAATATCAGTTGTGTATGCCTTCCATAACTCGTGCCTTTCCTCATGCATATCTAGCTTTTGTGTACTTAGGTTTTAATTTTGAAATCTTAGAGATTCACATAAATTTGCAAAAACAAAGGTCCCAAGTACTCTTCATTGGGGTTCCTGAAGTAGTGATATGTTAGTAAATTTTCATATCAAAGTGAGGGAGATGACAGAACACACAAGCCCTTCTCTTCTTATTTTAATAATGTTGACTTCGATGTCTGTAGGGTTACCTGAGAACATGAGCTATGCCCAGAAGACTTGGAGTCTACTTTGAGCAGAAGCATGGAACAGTGGACCTCAGGTGGACAATGTACTGCCTCTTCACCCACTGTCTGCTGTGCTCCGGTACACTAAACACGTGATGTTCGTCTCTTCCTACCCCAAGTCTTGAAACAGTACTGTAACAGGAGCACTGTTGGTGCCGTCTTCCCTATGGCATAGTGAAGGAAATCGAGGCATCAGTAAATTAAGCAACTGATGTAAAGTCACTGTGTCATTAGGGGGTATAGCTAGAGTTTAGACCCAGGCAGTTGGTCAGAGCCCCTCTGCCTAAGTGCTGTGCAGCAGGGTTAATGGCAGATCAGTGAAATGTCCAGTCTAAATTTTCTAGCTCTTTGACCAATCTCTCTCTCTCTCTCTCTCTCTCTCTCTCTCTCTCTCTCTCTCTCTCTCTCTCTCTCTCTCTCTCTCTCTCTCTCTCCATGTCTTCTTTCCTGGGTTATGTAACTTTACCAGGCACAACTACCATTCTTAAGAATCACTCAGCCTTTGCTCTAGCAAGGCTTGGCAATCTCTAGAAAGGCCCCTTCCTCTATGTGACAGGCAGAGGTTGTGGGGTCCTCGAAAATCTCCCTGCCAAGGATGGCTTCTTGGCATAGTGCTGTGTCACCACCACCACCACAGAACAAAGCACAGCCTTCAAGAGTATTGCACAGCAGAGGAACGTGTTTACTTGTCAGCTCATGGTTTCACTTCCAGCCCCACAAGGTTGTAGGTGGTAATTGAGGCCAGCGGTGGTGGGGTTACTGTTGCCCATAGTGCCTCAGTCTGGGGGTGGGCATGAGAAGGGGCACTTGGGAGGGCAAGTGTCAAAACACACACTGGTGGGGCATGGTGGTGGGCATGGTGGTGGACATGGTTGTGGACATGGTGGTGGACATGGCAGGGGGCACGGCGGGGGACATGGCAGGGGGCATGGCGGGGGACATGGGGGACACGGGGGACACTTAGGTGGTGGTGGGCACTTTTCACGTAAACACTTTTCAGAGCAACGTTGCAGCAGCTTCCTTAGACAGCTGGGCTGGCATTTGGTATCACACCTTTGTTCACATCTGGGGTCACAGAACTTGGGCTCATTCTTGGGGTCACTGAGTTTATTCTTATCATTACTCGACATTTTTTCTTGGATATGTAGGCCTGAGAAGAAATGAGAGACAGTGTGTCAGTGAGGGTCAATTCATGGGCTTCTTCCTGTTGGTCCATCCTGTTCTCATGTGTGAAGCTCTAGAACATCTAAGTAGCTGTCCTTGCCTGTGGATTTGGGTATGTTTATCTACACTCACTCTGATTTTCTCTCACTCTGTTTCCATTCTAGATTCTAAGCAGGTGTTCTTAGGGTCCTGGGACATCCCAAGAACAAGACCTGTAATTTTAGTGTTGTTGGTGTTTTTTGGAACCCCATGTGCTTAATGTAATTCATGTAAGTCATTATTTCAAGGAGTCCATAATTTTGATTACATTGCTGAAAGCACTGGTGGCTCAGCAAAACCCCAGGGGGCCACCACCCTCTGGGGGTAGGCTAGTGACAGGCTTGGAACTGTGGGCACATCTGGGAGTTGTTTCCTAAGTCATCCAGTCGTGAACATTGCTTTCTTCTTTGGTAGATGGAGGCAGGGAAGGCAACTGAGACTATTCTTAGTCCCACGAACCATTCTAGAACCATCCCTCCCCTCTTCTCAGGGGATCGTCAGGCCCTGTCAAACAGTCAGGGCAAAGGAAGAAGTAGAAGAGATCAAGTTGGGGGATCTAATTTCATGAATTTATGAATGATAGAAGCAAGAAATATGATTTCCAAAAGGGAATGCCTTTTCTGTTGAGTTTTGTCCTGAGGTTGGTATTTCTCTATAGAAAGTTTGACTTCTGGATTTGGACAGAGGTTTTTGTTTCTAACAATGGTTGAAGTTGGCTTTAGTTGGTAAGCCTTTGATTTTTATTTAATAATAAAAAGTAAAATTCCATGAGATGTTGTTTAAAAGTCAGTATGACTCTCGCGGGAAGCAGATCTTTAAATGGAACTGGAAAATGGACAAGAGACTTTTCCAAACAAAACCCTCCCAGCCCCACTTGGTGCTGAGGCTGATGCAGGTCGTTCTTAGGACACAAGATGCACAAGAGCAACCGTTGCTGTTCAGATGCAACTCACCCCTTTCTGTTGGTAGTGAAACTGACAAGCAGTCGAGTGAGGTGGATAGTAGGGCTGTGCTTGGGGAGGTGGACTTTCCCCTGGTTCCTCTGCTGTGCTCTGAGGAAACCGGGGGTGGGCTGGGGAGCATCTCCATTTGTGACATCATCACAGCATCATGAGTAGTGAATGCTGGGTGATTCCAGGACTTCTGACTCATTCAAGTCCTGGACACAGGAATCCAGCTATGGTTACTCGACTCTCGGCCTAGCTTTCTCTCTTCTGGTCCCTCAAATGGATGCTGGGAGCACCAGGCTACTGTGGAGGCTCAAAGGACAGAAGGCTCATGGCTGCTAGGAGAGGAAAAATTGGCTAACTGTAAACCTGTGGTCTGTTCCCTCCCTAGACTCTCAAAACTGTTTTCCCTTAACCTTTCTGGAAAGTTTGCTGGATCAGTCACTTCCCTTCCTTTCCCGAGTTTAGTAATATGAGATCCTGAAATATTTTATCTATCATACTTGCTCACCCAAATCCAAAGGTTAGTCAGCAGATTTTCCCAATGTCTCTGTGTAAATTCTCCCTCTCCTGTCACCCTCTCGGTGAATCTATGTGTTACTGGTGTATGGAAAGGCATCTCAGAAGTCCTTTCTGGCCTTGTCAAGGGCCTGGCCATCGAGGTTTACAGTTGGAACTGAAATACAACTGAGTGGTGATGGGAGACTAGTAGGAAAATGAGTGAATGGAGCTCACCAGACACAAGGCTTAAACTCAGGCACAGGAAGCTTCTATCTTGGCAGTCAGTCACTGGGGAATCACAAGTGGTTGTTTTTAAAAGCTTACTTTTCAACTTTTTATGTGTCTGAGTGTTTTGCCTTCATGTATCTGTGTGCTAAGCATCGTATATCTAGTGTCCACGAGGTCAGAAGAGGGCATCAGAATACCTGGACGTAGGGGCACAGGGTTTGTGAGCTGTTGAGTGAGTTCCACGTGAGTGCTGGAAACAGAACCCCGGTTTTCTGCAAGAGCAACCAGCACTCCTCATCTACAGCCCCACAAGTGACTCTTCATTAAAAATCTGGTGTGATCATATCCAAGGTGTCCCAGCCATGACAGCAGAGGGTGGGCTGGGTTAGTGAGTGGGGAGGTGGAGTGAAAGTGGAAAGAGGGACTAGACCACTAGACCAAGCTTATAAAGATGCACGTGTCTGAAGGGAGGCAGTGGTGATGGTAGAGGGTGAGTCCTGATGACCCACAGAGGTTAATTTCCATAGAGAAACTCGGAAGGAAGGTGAGGTGACTCCAGTCCTGTCACTCCTGGGAAGTGAAGAGACATCTTTTCACAGGGTGACAGGTGTTTGACAATGCTGAGTGCGGTTACAGGGCACCTCTTCAGTGATCACTGGGAACGTGGCTTTGACTTGTACCACTGGGCCGACCTGAGACCTTGAATTTATTTTAAACCATCAGTCTTTGCTGAATGGGTGAACATGAGTTGGCCCAGAGACAGTATTAATGGAGAGGAAAGAAAAGGGATGGGGAGGAAAGAATCATAATCCACAGAGACTGGAAGGATGAATAAGGTCATAAACAATTAACCCAAACATGGATAATCAGAAGAGGGAGGTGGGGTATTTAACCTCTTGGGATAATTAACATTGGAGACATAGTCTTGGTGCAGGCCACTCATTTTCTTTCCTATGTAATTTCCCGTGAACTCTATTGCTCCAAAGCTGTTCCCACATCCAGTGAGGGGAGCCAGTCTCCACCTGCTGTCCAGTTCTAGATGCAGCTACTGATCTGAATATGGAGAAGGTAGTCATCTGTCAAAGTCAGTACCAAAGGTGGTGTTTTCAGTAGTCACTGTCACCTTCCTTTTGTCTGTCTGTCTGTCTTCCTTTCATTATCACTCAAGAATATTATCTAGTGAACTTAAAACAGCACGGTTCTCATCGTCTCAGCTTCTGAAACTCTTCACCTTTTCTAAAGCTCAGCATATCCATTAGTGTTGCATTTGGTACCCTCGCTTCCAGCCTCCGACAGGGCTTCAGTTTTGTGAGCAACTGGCTGGCAGCAGTTACTAGTAAGATGATCCACAGAGTGCTTCTTAGGTGACTGGGTCTCAGGAGAGAGGCTGCAAGGGGTGATGAATAAATACCACAGTCTAGCCAAGACTGGTGGTTAAAAGCTAGGTAGGGCCTCCGTGTCAGATTCCTAGGTTCAAATCCTGCTTTCATCCTTTACTTCCTTAGTAATTTACTGATCTGGTCTCTGTCTCAATTCTGTTACCTACAAAATGACATAATACTAGCACTTGCTTAGGATAATGTGTAACTTGCCTTGAATGTCAGACGTATTATCAGGTATAAAACCTATACTGTCACCATGGCAGAATCTCATGGTTAGCAGGGTTGTAAAGATCAGAGACACCTCAAGAGCAGGCAGGTGGCATTCACTGCAGTTGTTGCTGCCTGGCTGCTTCATCCTGTGGCTTTCTGGATCTCTTTCGATGTCTGTGTCTCTCTTTGTCTCTTTCTCTCCCTCCTCATATTTTATATGTGTGTGCCCTGTTTGTGCATGTATACAGGTATACTCAGGTGCATGTGCACGTGTATGTTCACCTGGAGAAAGTGTTGGGTGTTATTCCTCAGGCACAGGCACTACCTCCCCTCCCCTCCCCTCCCCTCTCGTCTCCTCCCCTCTCCTCCCCTCCCCTCTCCTCCCCAGCTAAGGGTCTCACTAGCTAACAAACCTCAGGGATCCATTAGTATTACTTTTCCCAGAAAGGGGATTACAAACGTGTCACAGCACTACCATGTCTAGCTTTTTTCTTCTAATACGTTGTTTCTGAGTACCGAATTCAGGTCCTTATGTTTATGAAGCAAACACTTTATCAGCTGAACCAGCTGCCCAGTCCTGTGTCTCCATCTCTATGTACTTCTCATTTCTGACCTTGGCTCTGAACTGCACCTTTTCAGTCCCTTAACCTTTCTCCAAGATATCATTTTCTGTCTTCCAGCTAAATAATCCTGGTGATGTTCCCAGCAAGATTAACTATTTCAATATTAATGTTAAAACTATTTCTGTTCTGAGTAGGTACAGTTCATATAAATGTCATTAATAAACAATAGTAATTTAGACATGAAGGCCAACCAAAGCCATCAGATGGCTGGGAGAGATGTCTCAGTAAGAATACTTATTTTACAAAGTATGAAGACAGGAGTTTGAATCTCTAGACTGTTCCCATAACCCTGAAGGTGGGGCAGAGCTGGGTGGGTCCTGAGACTTTATTGACTAGCCCTTGCTGTGAAAGTGGTACGTTTCTGGTTAAGTGAGATACTCTGCCTCAAGGAAAAAGGGCTGAGAAGGACTGGGGGAGACACCTGACATCCTGCTGTGGCCTCTGAATTCATGTACATAGCTGAGCACACACCACACACACACACACACACACACACACACACACACACACATACACACACACACCAAAATTCCATGGTTCCAACATGTGTATCAAAAGGCCAGGGAAATTCTAATAATTGGCTATTTTAACTAGAATTTCCTTCTATAGCTTTATGGCAAAGTTTTTTTTTTAACTTTTCAATTTATTCGTTGAGAACCTCATACATGTATACAATATATTTTGATCATGTTCTCCTGGTACTCACCTTCAACTCCCCCTGTATCCCTCTTTCATTCCTCCATCCAACTATCCAAAGCTCCTCATTTTAGGGGCGGGGCTTATGGGCACTCTTCTCATTGTGCTGGGATGTTGACTGACTTGATCTTGCAAAGGTGTGCACACAGTCATACTTACTGGAGTAAATGAGAACAACAACCCAGCCAGGTCCAGACGACATTGTTTTGCTCTGGCCCTCCTTAACTGCTGTCTTTTCTACTCTTTCTGCTCCCTCTTCCTTGACATTCCCTTCCCCGAGCCTTGGGGAAAGGACGTGTGATGCAGAGGTCTCATTTAGGGCAGAGCATTTTACAGACATATTTTATTCTCTGCCCTTTGACAAGTTGTGAGTATCTGTATTAACCATTGTCCACTGTGAAGGAACCTTCTTTGAGGAGGACTGGGAACTTCACTATGAGTGTAGAGAAGTATTGTGAAGGTAATTTGGCACTATGCCAATTTAGCAAAATAATAGCAATAGTTTTTCCCCAAGGGCATGTGGGCTCCCTATTCATGGATTCTTGGCCAGATTTACAGCAACAGACATAGACATGATTTTAGTCCTGTGGAGGGGCCTTAAATACAACTAGAAAACAGTTGGTTACTCACTCAGCGTTCATACCACTATTGCACTAATGGGCAGATCTCTCTGAAGGGTCATTACCATAGTTCACAGTGTTCTCAGCTGGGTAAGATCTTGATTTTTCTTCACTGCAGTCTATGTGACACCTTCTGGTACTATAAAAGCTAGCAAGCATGGAGGAAGAGTCCTGGTCAGTGTCATTTTGATTTCTCTATGTTTTGTGTCCAATGTATGATGTCTTCAGTAGAAGGGTCCAGTTACCATCAAGTTCTGATGGGCAACTGGGAGCCAATGCCAATGGTTTGTGTTGCTTTCTGTGGTCTCTGGGACTTTAATGATCATCAACTAGAAAGAAGGTATTCCATGCCTGTCTTTTTGCTTGACAACCTACGACTTTTGGAAGTAGAATTACCTCTGTGTAGGTCAACTCCATTTAAATGTTTATCATCTGTCTGTCTGTCTACCTATTCATCCATGAAGCTTATAAAATAGTAAGTTCTCAAATGAATATTTCAAGCATCACTAGTATTAGTTACCCCTCTCCACATTCCCTTCTTTGCTCTACCTTCCCATATCTCCACTGAACCTTTGCCCCCATTGTTGTTTTTCTATTTTTCTTGAAAAGTTTTGTCAAATAAGCAGCACTCAAAGAATAAAGTCAGGATCACTATTCCTTTTTCCTGAAGCCTTTTAATATCCCCTTCCTTCCTACAAGCTTTGACTCTTCCCTCTGTGAAATCTCTAGTAGATCCTGTTGACTTTTAGGGTCATGCTAAGAAATGAGTCTCTGTTCATTTCCTACTACACCAGCAATCTTATTTCAGTAGTCAGAAGACATTTTCCATGAATATGGTAATTCCTTATCTTTCCCATTTGCACGATAGTAAGATGCCTATACAAGAAAGATCATCTTCCTCATTGGATGTGGCTCCTCCTGTCTCATCCAACTGTTTCTGGTTATTCTGAGTAAGGGTTGGTGTTATGCACAGAGGAGAGAAAAGGGAACAAAACATTCTGAGTTCTCTGTAATACTGTATTTCATTTCTCCTTCCTTGGGAGATCCTCTCCCTGGCACCCATATATAAAAGAAAACATACAATATATGTATTTTTAGATCTTGTTATCTTAACTCAGGATGATTTTTTCCTAGCACTATACATTTGCCTGCAAATTTCCTGACTTCATTTTTTTCTTAACAACTGAATAAAATTCCATTTTATGATTGTACCACAGTTTCATTTTCTGTTCATCAGTTGATGGACATCTATGCTGTTTCAAATTTTTGTCTGTTATGAATAGAGCAGCAATAAACATGGATGAACAAGTATCTTTGTAGTAGGAGGTAGAGCCATTGGGTATATAAGCAACTGTAGTATAGCTGGATCTTGAAGTAGATCAATTCTCAGCTTCCTGAGGAAGTGCCACCACTTGTTTCCATAGTGTTTGTGCAAGTTTGCACTCCCATCAGCAATGAATTAATGTTCCGTTTTCCTATATTCTTGCCAGCATGTGTTGCTATTTGTAAAAGAGGAGAAATGGTTGAAGGACACCTACAATAAAGGGCATTTGAAAACCCATATGAAGACTTAACTAAATCTTCTAAAAACAAATACACACATAAAAGGAATCTAAATGAAGCCACCAATTAATAGGAGAGACCACATTCCAAGCATACATCTTATGCTATCAAGTAAAGCCTCCATTTCCTGGAATGGGTTGCATCTTGTTGAGTCATTAGTCAAATGGGGTTCCATGAACCCTCCCCTCAAACATCATAGGCTATTGCCAAGGCCATGGTGAGGCTCTATTGTGGAAGACACTTATGTCATTGGACATAGAGAAGTCAAGCTGGCGCCTCGCTAGAAGCTTCACCCCTATTGACTAGCACTCATGGGGCTGGAAAGTATTCTGCACACTACTGGAGGAGAAAAAAATCATCATCACCCATCTATAAATTCCGTGACCTACAACAGTGGCCTGGCTGCAAGATATACTAATGCAATAGTGGCACAAATGTTGTGGGATTAATCAAACACTTTCTGATTGGATCTAAGGCCAATTTCATGAGATGTAACCCACACCTGACACTGTTAAAGTTGCCAAGAACATGAGACTAGATAGGCCATGGACACTGGGAAAGCCTATACTACTATTCTGCCAAAGGAGCACAGCAATGCAATGACTCCTTATCACATACTGCTATATCCATAGATCAGTGCCCCACTCAACCCACGTCAGAGAATCTTCTTGTAGTAGATGACAACTAAGGCAGAGACAACTGTACAGTGATAGAATGAGAGACTTTGGAGCATTCAGTCTTGAGAGGGATGTTGTCATGAGAACGCCCACCCCAAGGAAGGGAGATATATGTGGAAGAGGAGGCAGAGAGACTGTAAATGCCAGAGCTCTAAGGAAACAGGGTCTTCTAGGCACAGCAGAGCTGATATACGAACTCACAAGGACTGTGGCAGCATACACGAGGCCTGTGTAGGTTCAAGCCACATGGGGTCTCAGCACCAAGAGGGGAAGATGATGCAGGGTCCCATCTAGAACCAGAAATTATTTGTAATTGATACCTGATGGTAGAAAAAAAATCAGTTTTCTCCAATGAAGTGTCACTAGGAATATCAACTATACTCCAGGGCAGGCCTCGTGCCCAGTGTTAGTAGGCCAACACAAAATAAATGCCCTGGCTTTTCTTGTGTATGTTTTCTTATTGTAAGTTTTACTGGTCTTTTGGATGTTCTGCTTTTCATTTTTGCATTTTCTTTTGTTTCAAAAGAAAGAACATAATGTTGGGTAAGTGAAGAGTTGGGATGGGGGAGAGGTTAGGGGTGGGTAAGGAACATGATCAAAATATACAGAATGAAAAAAAATTAAAACCTCAGCTATTGATCTACACAGAAAGAACTATTCTGAGCTGATGCTTCCGGCCTTGGCAGGGCCTTAAAGCTGACTTTTATTTCATCAAAGTGTGTTCTTTGGTGGGGGGCTTCCCTTCTATTGCTTAGTTGGAGTTTTGACCCTGTTTCCTTAACATCGGCAAAGACAACTCCTTTGCTCTCTTCCAGTGGCTCCTGCAGTGACCAGGCATTTAGCCGGTTCTCATGCAGCTTCTGTGGGCACCGGTCACCTCATCCTCAGAGGGATGGGGTTTTCGTCAAAGCTAGCACCAGCTTTTATTTCCCCGTGCCTCAAGTATGACTCACGGGATCCACTTAGAGCTGGTGGCCCACACAACACTCGCGCACCTCTCTCTTTCCTCAATCATCGTTAGTGACGTTTTCTCCTGACATTTGCGCTCATTGGATGCAGGGAAAGGTAAGTTTCACGACATCCTCATCGCTCTAGCTCCGTGTTTATCCTGCCTGATTTCACTGTGGTGCGTGAGGCTGTTGTGGCCTTTTTCAGCCCTTTCTTCTCCGGGTCCCCCATGACCTGGACAGACTCCTGTCTCTCCACTATTCTTTCTGAGATCTTTCTCCTCTGCAGTAGAAAGATCCAACTTCCCAGCCTCTTTTCTCTTCACACAGTTGTAGTGCATCTCATTCTGTACTTCACCGAAACAGAGCCGAAGGATCCCAAAGCCTGCACTGCATACCTGCTGCTTTCTCCGGCCAAAGGTTTACCCCCTCGAACTGACTGCACGGAATGAGCATTCATCTACCTGATCTCCTTGCTCCTCATTGTGAGCCCCAACTCTAAACAATTTTGCTGTTCCACAAAGCTTCTATATCAGAAGCTGGGCTCATGCATCCTGCTGCCTCCTACTCAGCCCCACAGCACCTGTATGTAGGCTTAGGGGTTGCTGTTTCCTTAGCCACGGACTCCAGGTCAGTGTTTGCGAACTCTACTGTACATTCACCTCCATCAGTCCTGCTGGACCACCGTCTTCACTGGCATCATTGTCGTAGATCTCATTTCCTCCTTACCTTAGTCTCATAGTCTATTACACCGCCACATGGATTTTACTAAAACAAACACACACTATTACTATAAAACTTAAGATGAGGGCCAAGGTTGCTCATTAATTCTATAGAAACCTTACTAATCTTGCCTTGGCATTGGTTTTTCTACTTTTTGAATAATTCCTGGGGGCAGGCTACTTACAGTTCTAAAAATTTTCTGGAAATTGCACTTTCATTTTTTCAAGGCATGCTTCCTTTCTTCTGCCCTCAACTTTAAGCTCACAAAGAATTTACCTTAAACAGTTATCCGATCCAGGTCTAGCTATGGCAGCCAGTTAGATCATTCTGAGATAAATTTTTGGAGTGGAGATTAAACCTTGGGTTTCACAAGGCTAGGCCAGTGTTCTGTATTCCTGAGTTATACGTCCAGTCATCTTTGTTTGTTTTGTTACAGGCTACTAAGTTACCCAGTCTAGACTTAAATTTTCTGGGAATACTGGCCTGGCCTCTACCACAAGGCCTGGTGCATTTCTGAGGTTTTTATCCCAATGTTTTATAGTTACAGAATTCTCAATCTATTTCCATCACTTACCTGATGGTCTAGTCTAGAGACCAAGACCCCTGATTCTTATCTTTGTGCCCCAGTGCCCAGTACCTAACCCAGCATGTTAGTCTCTTAATAATAAAAGCTCATTGTCATTTATATATTGTTTAGAGAGTTTTGAGTTATTTTCCCTAACTGGAATGCCCTTCCCCTTTGCTTCTTTCATCTAGATGATATCCATTTTTACACCTTCTGTACTGTTTGAAAACCTTGCCTTTAATGTAAGACTTTCCTGCCTTCTCCCCTTTCCCCCAGCACACCCCCTAAAGCATTTCCTGGGGGGGCATCTCTGAACACACATCTTTCTCACACAGCGTGCTTCTTCTAGAGAAGGGACGCACATCTTCTTTCTCACATAGTGCCATTACTCTAGAGAAGGGGATTTTTTTTGCCTCTTTACTGCTGTCCTGGGTCTCATATTTGAGATATTCAATGGCTATTTCAGGGACCTATAGCTGGCCTTGCAAGATGAGCTAAGAATCGAATTATCCAAAGAGAGACATGTGGTTTCTCTAAGGGCCAGCCTTTGTCACCAGGATATTTGAATCGGGCTAACAGTGACAAGCCAACGAAGCACCCTCAGCCCCAGGACTGGAAATCTACAGTCTCAGATGCAACGTCATCTGCTCAAGAGTCCCAAGCAGAAAGGAACTTCTCATGAGATTTGGATCCCAGTCTCCTCTTCCTAGGAGCTCAATCTTCCTTACCATGCATTTTTACTCCTCACAACAAAAAAATTTTTTTCTGTCTACTGAAAGCAAAGGAGAACCTGAGAATAGGGCCTTGGAAAGAAAGCACCCAGGTAAGGGGTGTGTGGAGAAGGCCTTAGTGGGTAGATGGGACCATTCTCCAGAGAGAAGAAAGGCCTTGCCATCTCTGCCAGTACTCACAATCTGCCCCAGCCTTCGCCCTGTGGATCCAGCAAGGGACATCATCTGACTGGAGCAACATGCCTTAATGGAGGGATCAGACATAGAAGATTCTCCAGCGTGATCTGAAAGATCAGAGCACAGAGACAAAAATCTTGGGGCATGGAAGGAAGATGAGAAACAGGATCCATTTCCCTCATTGGATGTAGGATTAGAAGCCAGGAAAATGTGGAGATTGATATACATTCAGATGACTTAAGATAGTTCTTGCTAATTTCTTGACCAGGTTTGCTACACACACACACACACACACACACACACACACACACACACACACACACACACTCAGAGAGAGAGAGAGAGAGAGAGAGAGAGAGAGAGAGAGAGAGAGAGAGAGAGAGAGAGAGAAGGCTAAATGTACTTTTATTTTTACTTTATGTGTATGTATGGCTGTGTGTCGGTGTCACATGCATGAAGGTGCTTGTGGAAGCCACACTCTTCAGATCCCTCTCTCCTACTGACATATCTGTTGGGAACCAAACTTGGGTCATCTGGAAGAGCAGTATACACTCTGAGCAGCTGAGCGCATCTCTCCAGCCCCATAAGCTCTGTTTTCTTAATGATCTTCTGTTGCCACCAGATGGCGGTACATGTTGGGACAGTAGCCACTAGCCCTGTCTGTCAAACAGCTAGATGTAGAAGTACTCTAAATGGCTACTTCTGGATGAGTGGACTGGGGGGGGGGGGGAGATGTGATAACATTCAGTACAATACCATTCAGTCTTTGGAAGAAGGATATTCTTCCATCTCCAAATGGGTGTGGTTTTGGGTAGAATAGTACTGCAAGATCCCATTTATGTAGTCAAATGTACTCAATATTCTCATCTACGAATCCTTAACTAAGAAGTAAGGTAACATGTTCATAAGTTCAGGCATAGCATGGAACATCTTTATTATGCAGCCTATCATCCAGTTAAAAATTCATTGCTAATACTTATCAACTAGAATTCTGATGGCTGCTCTATTTGTTTATAAAGTTTTATGTTTCCTCAATGCAGGAAACAACACACACACACACACACACACACACACACACACACACCTAATTGTTTTGACATCTCATGTAGTTCTGTAGCCCAGGTTGTTCTCAGACTTTATATACAGTGGAGGGTGGTCTGCCTCCATCTCCCCAATTGCTGGGATTATTAACTGGTTTAGACATATATTTGTATCCCTTAAATGTTTTAACAAAACCCAGGGATGTTTTCTAAGCATTACTTCTGCTTCCACAGAGACAGTTTTAAACCTGTTGTGTTTATTTTGGCATTGCTTACCTGAGAATGAGCCTCCAAATATCAGACGAGGGTGACTTTTGAAGTTTTGATTGCAGTGTTAATATCTTATAGCTGTATGTAGCAGAGAACACATACAGTTTCATTTAGTAGGTAGCTGATACATAGCATGACAAATACAATTGGGTGTGGAGAATGGAGGGTTTCACAGGCTTCCTCTTCATTTCCCTAGGTGCTGTTTTCTTGGATAAGCTGTTAGTCCTTTTCCTGCACCACTGAAATTTCCTAGTTGTTTATCCCCACCCATGGGCATGTGTTAGTTTAGATGATACCAGAAGAAGAGCTGAGATTCTTCAAGGAGAATGTCTTTGATGGAAGGAACAGAAACTAGGCATGTGTCTGATAGTTGGGGATTGGATTGTAGGTACAGAAAAGGGTCTGGGAAGACTCTAAGAGGAAGGAGGGAAGGCTGAGGGGCAGGGGAGTTAGGGCCTCACTAACTCCTCTGTTGCACATGGCAGGGATGCCTTCTCAAACTGTGAGCTCATTTAAGAGAGCCCCCATTTTCCTGTATGAAATCTGAAGACAATGTAGTATGGTTTTGTTGTGTGTTTTTCTTTCCCTAGGACTGTCAACTTCCTGTGATAGGTGTTGTTAGGGACCAGTGTCATTGTGGGTACAGAATCTTGCCCATGGCAGTGGTGGTCGCTACAGAAGCACAAGCCTATCCATCTTGAAGAGGTGTACTGTGTTATCTATCCGGCAGATGGGAGACCCTGGTTGGTTTTATTGTGGATGTTTCAGGTTTAGTTAGAGTTAGGGAGAAGCCTCTTCTGAGATATCTGTGGTTCTGGTTTTCAAAAGAAAGTGAATCTGTCATGAGAGGAGAATCCAGCCACCACATGTCTAGGAAGAGGAGGGTGGTGGGGCATTGGTATTGGCAATGGGAGATGCTGCAGGGGGATACACTTCTGTTGGCCAGGGGCTGAAGGACAGGGATCCAGGCCCTGGGGAGGGGACGGAGGAGGGCTTCGTACTGCTGCTGCTGACAGGTCATTTTTCTGTGGCTGAAGAAAATCTGTAAGGAATAGTACACATTTTAAAAAAATCCTTCATTTTGTTCCCAGGAGCTCCTAATGCCAGCATAGCCCTGCTATTTCTTGTACAAATGACCTTCCCAGAAGTCTTTCTGGCATAGCTATGATGTCCACAATGCTGGCAGCAACTTCCAGGCAAGAAAACCGCATTCCAAGTTCCAGACGCTGGTATCTGGAGCTGCAAGGTTTGGTGCTTTCTCTCCTGAATTTATTTGCTATATGCTTGTTTTGTTTCTTTTGGAATAAGAATGTCTTCTTGATACCGTCATATGTTGGAATAAGGCCACTTGTTTTTTGGTATTTGTAGGGGCTTACCTGAGTAGCAAACTTTAAGTGAAGGATTGTCCTGATTGCCTTAATTGATGCCAGAGGACTCACCCTCATGGGAGCCGCCTTCTAGTTGCAGCCTAGGGATGATTAGCTGCTTTTGGCTCCCTCTTGTGGCCTTTGGCTGCTTCTGCCTCTTTTCCTGCTATCAGCACCAGCAATTCTAGGCTTCTAATATTGACCAAGGAACTGTGACTCTCCAGGAACCTTCTGGGTTTTCAACTCCAGGTTGGGACTGCGGAGGCACCCAACCTCAAGGATCTAGGAACTGCCAGGTTGTTGGCCTCTCCAGTGTGAGACAGCCACTGTGACACTATTCCTAATGTGAGGCGCCCGGCCTCAAGGATGTGGCAACACCAGGATCTCAGCCTTTCAGGTGTGAGACAATGTTTGCTACGATTTCAGTGTCAGTTGGTTTAATACATTCTTTAATACATTTAGACATATTAGCCTTACCAGTTATGTTGCTCCAGAGAGCACCAATATACCCTTCCCTCCCCTAACTGGTCAGCACTCTTCCACCTCCCTGAAACAGGGACCAACTGGGAAGCATAAGGAGGCTCATGAGGGCACATGCACGCATGTAGAGCCTAGAAACTGACGTCAGTTGTCTTACTCAGAGCTTGTTCATCTTAATTTTTTAAATGGGTCTCTTCAAACCAGGAGCTTAGAAGTTGACTCCACTGGCTGGCCAGCAAGCCCCAGATAGCCTCCTACCTCTGTCCATCCCTTCCCCTAGCATAAGCCTGGCTTTTTATATGGATGCCATGAATCTGAACTCGGATCCCAAACCATCTACCCATCTGTAAAATGGACAAAATTAAAGGAAGAAAGGAAGCAATGTAAAGAGCAAGAACTTGTGTCTAGATGTGGGATTTATAATGGACAATAAAAAGCTTCAAGTGCAGACACCATGCCTGGCCTTGTAACATGCACTGTGATATATACACAAAATTAATATTCTGTGTCAAGTACCTGCCCTCAAAATTGTCATAAAATGGAACCATGTTCTATATCCCTAGATTCAACATGAAGCCCACCAAGGGAAATCTGTACAGCACAGCTGTCATGAGAAGCTACTGTCTGAAGCACAAGTTCTAATAGATTTTAATAATAAAAACCCAGACACAGATAATCAGGGTAAATCCAGAAAGGTCAGAGAAGTAAAGGAGCCAGCCATAAAAGAGACCTCTTACCTCTGCTGAATCCTCAGGCCAAAGGAACAATCCTGTGCCTACAAATCCTCAGACTGAATGTATGATCCTGTCTCTAGGAATCCTCAGATTGAATGTAATAAGCTCCTGTCTTCTCCCGCCTTATATTCCTCTCTTTGCCCAGCCATATCATTCCTGTCTCTACCTCTCTAGTTCTGAAATTAATGACATGTGATACCAAGTGCTGGGATCAAAGTTGTGAGCCCCCACCACTTGGCTCTGTTTCTCTTTTAGACTGGATCAATCTCTAGTAGCTCATAGTGGCCTTGAACTCACAGAACTCTGTCTGCCTCTGCTTCCCAAGTGCTGGGATTAAAGGTGTGTGCCGCCAATGCCTGGCCTCTATGGATAACTGGTGACTTAGCTCTGCAGTCTGATCTTCAGGAAAGCTTTATTGGTTAGATCACAAGTGTTCTGTGTTGAGTGTATACTAATGCTATGCAGTGAAATTACCCCTCAATTCCTTGCTTTGTCTCTATCTTAAATTCTTACTGCACTTATTACAAGAACCTGAAAATACTGGGTAGAGGTTTCTATCTGCTCTGTCACCAAGGACTCCACAACCCTCACCACCAGCAACACCTTGCAGATTCTCTTTTAGTATCTCAAAGGCCTGTCCTTCCTGCCAACTCCCACACACTCTGCACCCCCATTTCACTTCTGAACAACATGCAGGGTCTTACCATCGTTAGTGTTACCCAAGATCTTCAAATCAGGAAATTGCAGCCGCATCACTGAGCCTGCAGAGGGCAGCAGAGGGTAGAAATGGAGGAGTTAAAAAATACATCCTGGTCATGGTCACAAGGTCACAAGGTCAAAAACTACAAGGGCTGTGGCAGGCATCTGTCTGTCTGTCTCTCTCTCTTTGTACATTGGGAAAGGAATGGCTGGGTATAGGTGATATGAAATGGCAAATGAAGTAACAGGGAAGGGGCTTGAACTGGGGAAGAGGAAGGGAGGTCAAAATAATGCTAAGGTTTTTGATAAAGTCCCAAGGAATCATATTATTTTATATTCACTTAAACTGATTCACAATGCATATAAGACCACACACACACTTTAAAGGAAGTTAATGCTCCCCATTGTTGTTCTTTTGCTTCAAATGACAGGATGAAGCTGGAGGGGGGGGTCCTATGGCAGATTCCATGGCCAGTGAGGGTGGGGACAAACACTTCAGGCAGACAGAACTTGAGGGAGGGAGGGGGAAGGAAAGAGAAAAGAGGTAAAAAGACACAGAGACACAGAGAGAGGACAGAAGGGAAGAGGGAGACAGGAGCAGAAAGGAGAGCACACACACACACACACACACACACACACACACACACACACACACACACACACACACACACACACACAGAGCGAAAGAGAGAGCGCAGAAAAAGCAGAAAGAAGAGGAAGAACAGTAAGAGGAAGAAAGAGAGCAAGAGAGCATAAGGGGGCAGGGCCTGTCTTTTAAAGGGTCCTTTGCACCTGCTTGCAGACTAGTACTCGTGGAAGCCTGGGCTGACCAGGGTGCTGCCTGAGTGCATTCTTCCAGGTAACAGGGCAGGTCAGCATAATGCCTGAATCCTTACACCCATAGGAATCATATATTAATAAACCCCCAGTACCAGGTATGAGAAACCTTTGCAATGGTTGATCAAGGTAGTCCAAGTGATCCCAAAATAATATAGATTACCAATGTATCCCTTGGTTGCCCCTCAGGGGTTGAGGGTGGCCATCTACTGCTGAAGACACCAAATACGTGAGATGATTTGGAGTAGGATCTGATCTGAAAGACTCTTTCCTGCAGTCTAGCTTCTATGGTCTCAGAAACCCTATGCAAGCTTCCAAGGGAGAGAAGCAATTCAACATGTCTCCCCCCCAAAAAAAAAAGATAGAAAGAAAGGAAGGAAAAGAAAAAATAGCTTTCTCCAAGGGCACACCAACTATACCTAAGCACAGACTTTATGGCAGCCGGAGATGGCCAACACAAAAATGAACTCAATGGTATTTTTGGAGTATTTTTGTCTCATAATGCTTTGTCTGGGCATTTCCCCCCCTACCTTACTGGTCTTTTTTTTATATTTTATTTTCCAGTTTAAATTTAGATAAGAAACGAGGTTGCTTCACAAGTCAGTTCCAGGTCCCTCTCCCATTCCCTCCCCTCCTCCCATGCCCTCCCCCCAACCCCCCCCATTATCCCCTCATTTCCCCAGGGAGGGTGAGGCCCTCCATGGGGGTGTCCATAGTCTGTCATTTCATATAGGGCAGGGCCTAGACCCTTCCCCAAGAGTTCAGGGTGAGAGTGCACCTCACATTGTTCTATGGGAGTCCAAAGTCCGTGTGTATACTCGGGATGGGTACTGATCTGCTGCCCAAGGCTCAATAGATTACCTAGGCCTCCTCACCGACACCCACATTCAGGGGGTCTTGATCAGTCTCATGCTGGATTCCCAGGCATCAGTCTGGGATTCAAGAGCTAACTAACCCTTGTCAGGTCAGCTGTTTCTGGGGCTTACACCAGCCCAGTCTTAATCCCTTTGGTCATCAATCCTCCCTCTCTGTTACTGGCTTTCTTGAGTTCAGCTCAGTGCTTAGCCGTGGGAGTCTGCCTCTTCTTCCATCAGCCACTGAATGAAGGTTCTGTTTCCCAGACTCTCTGGCCATGGGATTGTAGGCTGGCACTCCCCAGATCTATGTCTAAAATCCATATATGAGAGAGTACATGCCATGTTTCTCTTTTTGTGACTGGGTTACCTCACTCAGGATGTTTTCTTCTAGTGCCATGCATTTGCCTGCGAATCTCATGATTCCATTATTTTTTTCTGCTGAATAGTACTCTATTGTGTAGATGTACCACATTTTCTCTATCCACTCTTCGGGTGAGGGACATCTAGGTTGCTTCTAAGTTCTGGCTATTACAAATAAAGCTGCTATGAACATAGTGGAACAGACATCTTTGTTGTATGAATGGGCATCTTTTGGATATATGCCTAAGAGTGGAGTTGCTGGGTCTTGTGGTAGGTTTATTCCCATTTTTCTGAGGAATCTCCATACTGATTTCCAAAGTGGCTGAACTAGTTGGCACTCCCACCAGCAATGGAGGAGTGTCCCCCTTTCACCACATCCTCTCCAGCATAAATTGTCATTGGTGTTTTTGATTTTAGCCATTCTGACAGGAGTGAGATGGTATCTCAGAGTTGTTTTGATTTGCATTTCCCGGATGGCTAAGGATGTTGAGCACTTTCTCAAGTGCCTCTCAGCCATTTTAGACTCCTCTATTGAAAACTCTCTATTTATTTCTGCAGCCCACTTTTTAATAGGGTCCTTTGGTGTTTTGGAGACTTGCTTCTTGAGTTCTTTGTAAATTTTGGAGATCAACCCTCTGTCAGATGTGGGATTAGTGAATATTTTTTCCCATTCTGTGGGCTGCCTTTTTGTCTTGCTGACTGTGTCCTTTGCCTTACAGAAGCTTCTCAGATTCAGTAGGTCCCATTTATAAATTGTTGATCTCACTGTCTGTGCTACTGGTGTTATGTTCAGGAAGCTGTCTCCTGTACCAATTCGTTCAAGGGTACCACCTACTTTCTCTTCTAAGAGGTTCAGTGTGGCTGGATTTATGTTGAGGTCTTTGATCCATTTGGACTTAAGTTTTGTGCATGGCAATAAACATGGATCGATCCACATTCTTCTACATGCCAGCATCCAGTTATGCCAGCACCATTTGTTAAAGATGCTTTCTTTTTTCTATTGTATATTTTTAGCTTCTTTGTCAAAGATCAGATGTTCGTACGTGTGTGGGTTAATACCCGGGTTTTCAATTCGATTCCATTGGTCTACCTGTCTATTTTTGTGCCAATACCAAGCTGTTTTCAGGACTATAGCTCTGTAATAGAGCTTGAGGTCAGGGATGGTGATGCCTCCGGACGTTGCCTTGTTGAACAGGGTTGTTTTGGCTATCCTGGGTCTTTTGTTTTTCCATACAAAATTGATTATTGTTCTTTCAAGGTCTGTGAAGAATTGTGCTGGGATTTTAATGGGGATTGCATTGAATCTGTAGATTGCTTTTGGCAGGATTGCCATTTTTACTACATTGATCCTACCTATCCAAGAGCATGGGAGATCTTTCCATTTTCTGAGGGCTTCTTTAATTTCTTTCTTTAAAGATTCAAAGTTCTTATGATACAGGTCTTTCACTTGTTTGGTTAGCGTTACCCCAAGGTATTTTATGTTGTTTGTGGCAATTGTAAAGGGTGATGTTTCTCTGATTTCTCTTTCAGCCCTTTTATCATCTGTATATAGTAGGGCTACTGATTTTCTTGAGTTGATCTTGTAGCCTGCCACTTTGCTGAAGGTGTTAATCAGCTGTAAGAGTTCCCTGGTAGAGTTCTTTGGGTCATTGATGTAAACTATCATATCGTCTGCAAACAGTGAAAGTTTGACCTCTTCCTTCCCAATTTGTATCCCCTTGATCCCCCTTTGTTGTCGTATGGCAATAGCTAGAACTTCAAGTACCATGTTGAAAAGGTATGGAGAGAGTGGACAGCCTTGTTTTGTTCCTGATTTTAGAGGAATTGCGTTGAGCTTCTGTCTATTTAGTTTGATGTTGGCTGTTGGTTTACTGTATATAGCTTTTATTATGTTTAAGTATGTCCCTGTTATCCCAGATCTCCTCCAAGACATTTATCATGAAGGGGTGTTGGATTTTGTCAAAGGCTTTTTCAGCATCTAGTGAGATGATCATGTGATTTTTGTTTTTCAGCTTGTTTATATGGTGGATTACATTGATGGATTTTCGTATGTTGAACCATCCCTGCATCCCTGGGATGAAACCTACTTGATCGTGGTGAATGATTGTTTTGATGTGTTCTTGGATCTGATTTGCCAGTATTTTATTGAGTATTTTTGCATCAATGTTCATGAGGGATATTGGTCTGAAGTTCTCTTTCTTAGTTGTATCTTTGTGTGGCTTGGGGATCAAGGTTATTGAAGCCTCATAGAAAGAGTTTGGCAAAGACCCTTCTGCTTCTATTGTGTGGAACACTTTGAGAAGAATTGGTATAAGCTGTTCTTTGAATTTCTGGTAGAATTCTTCACTGAGGCCATCTGGACCTGGACCTTACTGGTCTTTTGCTTTATATTATGACTTCTGATTTTGTGTTTTTACAGGATCTCTGTGCAAGTAAATGTGTGTAACTCTGTATCTGTGTGTGTTTCTTGTACTTTATCCTTTTTTTCCTGTTTGTATTGTCACTTTCTTTTTCTTTCTTCTCTTTCTTTCTTTCTTTCTTTCTTTCTTTCTTTCCTTCTCTCTCTCCCTCCCTCCCTTTCTTTTTTCCTTCCTTCCTTCCTTCCTTCCTTCCTTCCTTCCTTTCTTTCCACATTTTTCAAGTGAGAGAGAGAAAGAATGGGTGTGGATTTTGGTGGCTGGGGAGGTACGGAGGATCTGGGAAAGAAGCAGGAGGTAAACACTCTGTCAGGCTGTCATGGTGGAGAATCTTGCTCCTGATCACCACATGGGAGAAGACCCCTTCCTCCCACCCACTTCCTCATCTGTAAGCTAAGACCTTCACATTATCTTCCCTGGCTGCTATGACTTACAGGCCACTGTGTCCCCAGAGCTCTGTTCTAACCAATAGGAGCCTGTCTGTCTGGGGCTGTGCCAATGTGGCCCACCTGTGCCCACAGACAGCTGGCCCTGGTCCTGGAGTCTTCTTCCTAAGATGATGGTGCATGCACTGCAATGAACCAGAGAACAAGTAAACTGTTTGGGAGGTGCCAGGAAACAACAGTGCCTGTGATTGTTCACCTAAGGAAGAGAATTTGTAGGGAGGAAGCCGAGACTACCTTTTTAGTGCTGTCCCCCATGGAGATGTGAGCCTGTGTCCCAGAGAGCTGAAATGGGATGTGTGTGCAGCAGTGATTTGTGGCCAAGGGAGTCCCTAATCATTTCTGTCCCATCTTAGCAGCACTTCCTGCTTGCAAACATTCTGTCTCAACCGGATTCAATTAAGAGCCAACCAGTCTTTCAAAGGTCTTTAGTTGGAGAGGAAACTTAATTATAATTACATGATTTTATGTGGTCACACACACAAAAATTGTCTTTTGACCTATTTTAATTATGCAGAAATTTTGTCTTTTCATCTAGACATATTGACAAGCTTCTTCATTTATCCTACCCCTGGGTACTCTAAAATATGAGCTGTTTCTTGAGAGGTTAATGAGTGAGTACATTTTGAACTGGCTAAAAGTCAGGATTAAACATCGGAAATTACAGTGAGCATCCCTACCCTCCAGGCTTCTGTGACCCAGGATTGAGCACAGGCTCAAGGTGATGCAGTGATGCCGAGAGAAGCTAGACAACACTTGTGCCCAGATTCAGAGAGAACCGTGCTGTGATCCAAGCCTTTGGTTTCTTTGTCTCCAATCGCTATCCCGTGGATCAGAGCACAGTGCCCAGGCATTCCAATCAATCGCTATCCCGTGGATCAGAGCACAGTGCCCAGGCATTCCAATCAATCGTTATCCCGTGGATCAGAGCAGGGTGCCCAGGCATTCCAATCAATCGCTATCCCGTGGATCAGAGCAGGGTGCCCAGGCATTCCGAGGGGCTCTAGTCTGCTTGGGATGCTTGCAGACCCCTGGAAAGGTTACAGCATGCTCTGGGAAGGGCTCTGAAATGCAGCAGCTGCCTGTTGTCACTTCCTCTGGAGAAGTGGGAGGGGAGAAAGGGAGGCTAGGTAGAGGCAGGTACTCTTTGTTCTGCCGTCTAAAGAGACTTACTGAGATGGTGTGTCATCCATCACCAATAAACTGTCTCTAGACATTAAAGACTGGGTCTAGATCTTTCATATGGAAAACAACCACCCACCTCACGTACACATGATGAAATTACCTGCAGCATTAACACACCAGCTCTGATCTTTAGTATTAAGTGATGCTCATTTAAAGTCACTGAACACATACTCTGGAACTACACACCACACATAGTATTGTGCAGGACTGGAGGCACTTACTGATATTTAGGTAGAGTTAAAATATAGAGAAATATAACAGAAGTTTGGTTGTTTTTGGCGGTGACTGGTGATATGTGAGTCATGGGGAAAAAAGGAACCTTGATCTGCCGAGGGGATTCTGTGTTGCTTTGGGCTTTCCCATATCTAGACTTTGCCATGTAAGTTCATGCAGGCTTTTGTTCTCCAGTCACCTTCAGGGATGGATACTTGCCATTCCCTTCTTTTTTTATCAAAGCTCCCTTTGGCAGTGGTCTAGAAAGAAACTTAGCCAATCTTTCATAGTTAAAGAATGTTAACTATAATGTGCCTCCAGTCATGAGCCTCTTGCCAGACAACTCAGACGGCTCTGATCATGCCATACCACCAGTCGCCAGCTGGTGGTGCTAGAGGCACAGTGAATCGGTGGGGCTACTTACCCACTCTTTTTTTTTTATTGACATATTTTTTTTACTGATTCTTTGGATATTTTACATCCTGGTCCCTCCATAACTTCCCTTTACCTTTGAAATGTGCCCCAAAGGAAATGTAAAAATGAAATAATAAAAATAAGATAAAATAAAATGCAAATAAGAATATTAATTGAACAAACAAAAAAGCAAACAAACTAATAAAACCCACTTAGCTCCTTTGTCTTTTCTGTTTCTCCATCAACTCTTCATTCATCTTGGTGGCATTACAAGCTGCTTTGTATTATGCAGCATAACCATTGTCCAAACAGCTTTATTTGCTAATGTTCATTTTGTAGTGTGTTATATGTCAGGTTCAAGGTCTCTGACTTCTGGTAAATCATTGCTACTGGACCTCTCCATTCCATAGGCATGGAGATCATGTGGCTATGTTTCCACAGAACCAGTTTTCTACCTCCTCCAGCACTTACACACTCTTTTAACCATAAGCCCATTGAAACTATGCAAAGTGACACTAGGACTGATAATTGATGCTCTATCGGCATGTGCCTAATGTGGTCAAATTTTTCTTGTTTGAAAATTTAATGGAAGAAGCGTCAATGAATATAACCCACAAGAATAAAATCTCGAGGTCCTCAATAATTCAAGTAGTGTAAAGCATTTCTTAGATCAAACAGCCAGATCTAAGATCGTAGCAGCGATCACCTCTCTTGCCAGTGTGGGCTTTCTGCCTACAGTTGTAGCTCCAGAATTGCATGCCACGGCCGTGCGCAGACTTGCAGCGCCTGTTTTATGTTCATTCCAGCCTGCAGGTGGACCTGGGAGACAGCACCCGGGGCACCGAAGATAGGAGTGCAGCGAGGAGAGGAGGCTCTCTGGTTCCAGCAGGGTCTCCATCTCATCCTCGTGTTGCCCCTGATTTCTTCCAGGTTCATTCTGAGGATTTTCCTCTTCTTCCTTCTCTCAGGCCCTTTGGTCCCTCTGTGACTTTCCTGTATTCTCTGTAAGAAAGCAGAGATATGACTGCTCAGGGATAAATATCTTTCTTTTGTCAGACTCAGGGAAAATATTGTAAGTCATATTGGAATAAATTCAGAGTCCAGAGGAGGGGTGGATTTTGTTACAGTTTGGGAAATCAGAGGGTAAGTAGAAAAAGAAGATCTTGCAGCCTTCACCAAAGAATGTGCAACTGTGATGCAAAAGGCCCTGGAAAAAGGGACATTCCTCTTAATTTACGATTCTCCTCTCTCTTCTTCATTATTTACTTCTGGAAACTTCAAAATGGCCTAACAACTCCTTGGAGGCAGAGCCGGTTCTATATTCTTGCAGTGACTTCAAATAGCCACAGGGAGGCAGTGTGGTAGAGAAAACTGCAACTGGAAATACTGGACGTTTTGGACCACATGGGATAATTTTTTTTTTTTTTATCCTGGGCTTTGCTATGGGCAGGAAGCCAAAGGGGTTTCCCCGCCATTTCCTTATGGCTCCCCGGTTCTTGAAAACACTTGCCTAACTTCCGCTTTACCCGAAACTGCAGCCTTCCATGTTTTTGTCGGATCACAGCATTTACTTTTCCTTTGAGCTGATTCTGTGTGTGGGGGTGATGGATGGAGCAGAGGACTCTAAGGTCACTGAGCTTTCCTCACGTGTGCTTGGGTCACTTGGTGGGTTTTGTGGCTGTGGAGAGATAAGAAGGAGGGAGCTTCTGGGCAGGACGTGTGGGATTGCAGCTTTTCCTATGGCTTATAAGGCTGCTCTGAACAGGTGTCTGCCCTATCACACTTCTCACAATTAAGCGTCACACACAGTCTCTTTAGCACTCATGTACGGAGTCAAGTGGACTTAGGATTGTTTATCCAGAGGGCGCTGAGAACCCCTACTAATGTGTCAGATCCTGAGAGTGGGAAAGAGACCACGGCAGAGACCCCACCTGGGCTCAAGGAAAGGTCAGGATTTAAAAAAAGGCAGGTGCGACCTGCAGAGTGGATGGGACCACGCAGCAGGCACCGATTAGCTTACAGGCTAGGTACTTGGAGGGTGAGTGAGAGGAGGTTCTCTTCAGGGATACAGTATGTGGATCCTTCCGGACCTGAGTTAACCCACCCCACCAGCTTCACATCGCTGTGGTCTTAACTACAATCCACAAACTGACATAGTATCCCCTCTATATTTTCCAGGACTGTTTGACATAAACGACATCACACCATGTCCTGGTCATCCTGCCTTCTCTTTGGTCACTTTTTCTTGGTTCATCAAGTCTTTTTCATCTTTGGAGTCCTTTCCCTCATGCATCCCTGTGCTGTGGAGTCACCTCAGCCATCCCTGTGCTGGATGTCACCTCTCACTACCTGATAGAATAGCCTAGGATGTCTTCAGTGAGCAGGCTAAGGAGCAGATCATACAGACACCAAGTCCTCAAGGAAGCTAACCTCAGTTTTAGCAAAGATTAAGCCTAGTGAAAATTACCAGGACACTTGGGTGTAAGGCTTGAGCAATAGAGGGTAGATTGTAAAAGATAGAATTGGAGCCTGTAGTTAGGTTGTCAGGCCACACAGGACGGCCTACCCCTCCCACTGACCTTTTTGCTCTGCCAGCTTCCTCCCAGCTGCAGTCAACACCCCCACTCCCTCCCCTCCCCACTTCCCGCCTACGGCCCTATATAAACCCCTTTGGAATGAGAAAAGATTGTCAGCTTGATCAGAATATTGTCTTGGCATCCGTTCCTTGTACCCTTTGTTCCCCCATTTTCTCCTAGGCATCCCCGTTTTACGTTGACCGTCCCCGCCAGATGGGTCATTCTACCTCTTCTAATTGTTCAAGAATTATTTAATAGTTCTGATAGGATGCAAGTTATTCAAATGGTTAGTAATTTGCATTTGTGAATGTAAAACTATTTAAGCCAGGTGAAGATCTGGAATGTGTCCTCTCAATATTTAAGCCCTGTTCCATTTTGCTGTCAGCAGAGGTGGCCTAAATATGCATGTCCAACGTTTCTACAGCTTTTTTCATTGCCTGTGATGTCTATGAAATGGATTCAGTCAATGTTCTAATCTTACTGTGGTCCGGGACATTGTACCTACTTCCTAAGTAGTCACTAGATGCTGCCCTCCAGGAGTGTGCTCTTCAGTAAGGCAGATATGAACTTTAGAGAGGGTAGGGTTGACATTATTGTGAAGACAATGGGGAATACTATGTTGGGAACAGAATCCTGCTATGTGGGGTGGACAAAACTCAGGAATGTCTGGATAGCAGAGCTACATTTCAGGTTTTTCAGAGACAGGGCTGAAAGTAAATATATGGGGAGAGAGAGCACAGCGGTGTAAAGATATCATCGTTTGGCATTGTGGAGTGTGATTGTGACAGTAAAGATGACAAAAGACTATTTGAAATTTCTTCAGTGAGAGGTGGGCATTTATGTCCTGGGCGTTTCTCTGGATCAGCAGACTATGGCATGATAAAAGGCTGGCTCCTATCTCTGTAAGACACATGGTCACTGTGCTAGAGAGCTCCTTCCTTCCTGGAGAGGAGGAGAAGCATTCCTGGGTTCAGTATCTCAGTCGTGTTTGCCAAGGTCCCAGACGTATGAGTGAATCCGTCTTGAACCTTTCAGATCAGCTAGCAGTCAAGTGAATAACACAGAATGGTTCCAATCCATATTATCTGAAGCAGAATTGCTCAGCCAACATTTGTCTGAATATTTGGTCCATAAAATTTGGATATTAAACACATATTTATTCACTAGGATAGATAAATACTAAAATAAAGCTATCTTTCTCAGATTTCATTTGAATAAATGATTTGTTTTTCCATTTACTTGTGGTTGTCAGCTCCTTAATGTTTTGCTACAGGCCTTGAGCCACAATTTGGTTTACTAGGCTGTAGCATATACAGTGCCTGCTCAGGAGGCAGATCCAATGATGGGGTGATTTAGACCTACTGTGAGATGAGAACAATTTTATTGCCTCTATTTGGACAGGAAGTTTGGGTGACACACTTAGGGTGTAAATGCTGGT